GAGGTCTCCAGGTTCAAGCCAGCAGCCTCTCCATATGGCCTTCCATGCAGAGCATTGCATTTTACCATTGTCCCACGGTCTGGCCCCAAGTCTAAAATTCCAATGAGTGTGTTTCCACTACTGTTTGTCCTCCCTCTTGCTGTGCCCAACCCCCCATACTTGCTGTGTTACCCAGGGGGTGCTCAGGGTGTACTTGGAGGTGGAGAAACTCAAGGCCTTTCTGACCCTCAATTTTCCTCTTATTTATTCTGAGTCTCGTGTGACCCCTTCTGTCTGTTGCTGGCGCCTGGATCCTGGTGGCTTCTTTTTTACAAAAAATAATAATTATTATTTTTGTTGTTGTTATTTTTAAATTTGCTATAGGGCATGCATGCTAACCAGAGAGAGAGAGCGAGAGAGAGAAAGTGAGAAAGCAAACCAGCAAGTCTGGGACTCCGACTACGATCGGCCATGTGGAAGCCCAGTACTGTGACCACTATGCCACCTCCTGATCCCTTCTGGTGGCTTCCATCCACAGGGAAGGCTGTTACCTTGGAGATCCTCACACCTTCATTCTTATCTGTTCTTGCCGCAGATGGCTCAGCGGAAGATCCGAGACATCCTGGCTCAGGTTAAGCAGCAGCACCAGAAGGGACAGAGTAACCAGGCCCAGGCACGGAGGAAGTGACCAGCCCCTCCCTGTTCCGTCAACTCCAGGACAACAGGCGGCAATCGAGAGCGCGCTGTCCCCGGCAGGCCTGAGAATGAGTGGGAATCAGGGGCCTCTGGGCCGGGTGATAGATCAGGTTTGCCCACTTGCTTGAGAAAGATGTTCCAGTGAGGAACCCTGATCTCTCGGCCCCAAACACCCAACGTGGCCCACCCCTCGGGGAGGTGCCATTGAAATTCTAGCTCAGGGTGCTTTTAAACGTGGATTGTTGAAGGAAGCTCTCTGGGCCCCAGCAAGAGGGTGACTCAGACCCTAGTGGGGAGAGAAATAAAATTTCCTTCAGGTTTTTAAAACATGCAGAGGGGTGTTTTAATCAGCCTCAAAGGATGGTTTGTTTCTTGACCCTAAAAGTTTTTTCTAACCTTCTTCCCCTTACTTGGTGAATTGATTGAAATACCTCCATTTTCATGCCCTGACACCACCTCTTCCTGTATTCACACAAATTGTGTTATTTTTACTGCTACCAGAAAAAAATGAGAACTAACGCATTGCTGTGCTTATACGTAATTTGACTCGAGGGAGAAGACCCGTCAGTATCTAGTTTAATTTCAGTCCTTCCCCAACCAACCAATAGCTATAGCAAGGAGTAAAGAAGGGGAGAAAAGTGGAGAAAGATGATGAAAAGAGTAATCCACGTTTAAAAGGAGTGCCCTCGTGGCTGATCTATTCCAGATTGCCATCTCGAAAAATTGGCACAATTGAAATTTGTCCCACTCCGTTGGGGCTTCCCCACTAAGAATCCCCACATTCAGGTCCCTCTGACCATGTGGTCCCACATCATGTCCAGGTGCACATGGGGGTACTGAATGCTTATCAGGGTAGGGGCTGACCACTGTCCCTGATTCCCATCATTCTCAGGCGAATTTTATATTTTTTTAAAGTCTATTTTAATGATTGGATGTGAGCACTGGGAAGGGGATGCTAAGTCCCCTTGATAAAGTCTCAGTTTCGTGGAGGACTTGAGTGGCCCCAAGGCTGCCATGGTGCCCTCGCCCCAGGCCATGTGCTCTCATGAGGGCTGGTTCCCAGAGGCAGGGATTGTGGGGCACGTCCCACCACAGCACTGTTTCCTTAGTGGTGGTGGGACTCGGCACCCAACCCCCAGCCTCCCAATAAAGCAAAAGTCCGTCATCTGGCAAATTCAGTAAATTGGAGAATATTTGCTTCTTCTAAAAATATTCCTAGAGGAATATTTAACTGATGGCTCCTGCCTCCATGAACCACTATTGGCATGATACAAGGTGTGTCTAAAGAACAAAATTCAGAATACCAGCAGCATGTTATGCACAAAGGGGTAAATAAGCTTAATTTATTAGTTTGCCAGGCTCAATAAGATCCCGTTGGAAATTTAGCCCTTGTGGAGGACAGCAACCGTCAGTTAAATGAGGTTAGGCCTCGCCTCCTAATATACTGATTGTCAATGCATATTCGCCAGGTGATGCACTTTAGCTACCCTGGACAATACTATCAAGTGTGCTGGGAAGGGAGGGAGCCTCTGTGTGTGTGGCACAGCCCACGCTCGGAGTTCTCCTCCTTCCGACATTGCAACAACAACAGTGACAACAAGCCAACCATGACATGTGGGCGGAGTCAGGCAATGCTGTGTGCGAAGTAAACTACCTCAAGGTATGAAGTTACCTCAGCAATTATTTTCCTTTTTGTTCCCTCCCCAATCCCATTTTTTTTTTCTTTTTTCTTTAAACATTTTTTTGATCTTTTTTTTTTTTCTTTGCGGCTTGCTGATATTTTATATAAAAAAGAAAAGCAAAGCAAAAGAGAAGCTGATAGTCTCGAATATTTTATTTTTTTAATGAAAAGAAAAAAAAATGAGAAAGTTATGTTTCATAATTTCTTACAACATGAGCCAGTAAAAACCCTTTAGGAACTTTCTATGGAGAACAGGCCCCGTGGGAAAAGTGGCAGGGGTTGGCCAAGAGGGGAGGTCCCGTTTTGAGAGAGCTCTTGCCTGGCTCTGATCTCTGGCTTCTAGAGCCCTACGCTGCTGGCTCAGGCTGGGCTGTCCTACCCGATAGGATTCAAAGGCCTAGCAGAGTTGTGGGCCCCAAGTGGCAAAGCGTTCAGCAGCCAACTGGCCCATGCTCCCCTCTTTCCTGTGGGTTACAGCAATCCGGCCGGTTTTTCCCACCAGTGGCGCTGTTGAGATATTTTAAAATATTGCCTCCGTTTTATCGAGGAGAGAAATAATAACTAAAAAGTATACCCTTAAAAAAAAAAAACTATATTTCTCTGTCTGAAAGTATGGGAGCCAAGATTCTTTTCATGGAAGAAAGACAAGGCCACCCTCTCACCCTGAGAGGTCCACCTTTTTTTTTTTTTTTTTTTTTTTCTTTGCTTTTTCTCTTTTTTTGGTCATGGCAGTGCTTTCCATTTTTGTTTTTGTTTTTGGTTATTTCATTTCAATCCCATCTGCTGTTCTTCGTAGTCTGTTTCCATAAACCACAGGGCAAACATACTCATAACTGCTCCCCTGTCTCCCCGTCTTCTTTAGATTGATCTGATTGGTTCTAAGCGTGGACCCAGACGTAAAGAATTCTTGATTTAGGGTGATGGGTGGCAAGGAGGCGTAGGAGACTTGGGAACATGATTGGCACGAGTTCCTGCCTTACAGCGTTCTCATCGCTTTCTACCCATGGCATTCCTTCGCAGCCCCTGAACTGTCCAGCCCAAAGAGAAGAGAAGCAGGGAAGCACGGAGGGCTCATTTCAGGCCAGTAGAACGAAGCTTCCCACCTGCCCCAGCCACAAAAAGGGTCTCCCACCTTTTCATCTCTGGCTCTGTATGCTTTATCCCCAAATGAAGCAGACAACATTCAGACTTCGGCCACTTAGTGATTTAAGGTGAATTTCCAGCAGCAAGCATGCTTTGATACCTGGTTCAAACCATCATCAGGAAAGGAAGAAAAAAAAAATCCCACAGTACCTGAAATGTGATTGTTGCAGTGTTCAGTTTCCTTGGGGGCCTCTCCCTTCACACCTGGAGCCCAAGCCCTTTTCCTTTAGGTGATTTGGCTCCTGGGAGCGGCTAGGAACTGTGGCAAGGGACAAGGAAACTTGACTTAACTGGATTAGGCAAGGCTCCATTCATCGAGATATTTGCCCAGCAGGAAGATTGTGAAAGTTAGACTACCAGAAAGCAGAATGGTTTGGTGGTTAAGGTTTAGCAGGATGGAGGACCGGCCTCATGGGTCCTCCTGTGGCCCGGAGGCGAGGCCTCAGGGTGGTGTCTTGCCCTCCTGCTCAGCACCTCCATTTCTCCATCCTCGATGAGATCTTGAAAAGCACTTGGGAGATGTGGATTGATTGAAGAAAAGCGACTTTTTATAAAAAAAAACCGCTTTTGTGCGCTAAGATATATATGTGTGTGTGTGCTACATATATATATTTTTAAGAAAGGACCATCTCTTTAGGATATATTTTTAAATTGTTTGAAACACATTCAAAAAAAAAAAAAAAAACCAAAATGGTTTGATTAGCAGGATGGAGGACCGGCCTCATGGGTCCTCCTGTGGCCCGGAGGCGAGGCCTCAGGGTGGTGTCTTGCCCTCCTGCTCAGCACCTCCATTTCTCCATCCTCGATGAGATCTTGAAAAGCACTTGGGAGATGTGGATTGATTGAAGAAAAGCGACTTTTTATAAAAAAAAACCGCTTTTGTGCGCTAAGATATATATGTGTGTGTGTGCTACATATATATATTTTTAAGAAAGGACCATCTCTTTAGGATTATTTTTTAAATTGTTTGAAACACATTCAAAAAAAAAAAAAAACCAAAATGGTTTGATTCACTGACTTAACTTGGAAGCTGCATCTGTCAGTTACACCCCAATGGCTTTAATCCCCTCGAGGGTCTGGTTGCCTTTTGCAGTGGGGGTTTTGGACTCAGCTCCTCCGAGGGGGTCTGGGTAGGAGAGAGCCATTTTTAAGGACAGGGAGTTTTTATCACCCTCTCACTCTTTTCTCCCTCCACCCAGTCCTTACCAATCGTTTTTCCTTTTCCTTGAGCTCTCCACTTCTGGGGGCAGTTGGGAGCTATCCTCTTATTTATGCCTCACTATTGGCAGAAAAGACCCCATGTAAAACCCAGAGAGCACTGGGGGGACGCTCCAGATGCTTCTATGTGTCCGTTTTCCTCTGTGCCAAAGACAGACAGAGGCTGAGAGAGGCCATTTCTGAATCGCAGCGATAGCCATCTTGCCCGATCCCTGGGCTCTCTGAGGCAGGGGGGGTTCCTGGAAACAGTGTGAGCTAAAGACAGGTCCTTACCCTTTGGAGGCTCCTCCAGGGGACCTGGGAGTGGTCCTTGCCCAGGGGTAGGGAGCTGAAAAAGGGGTCGTTGGCTCCTGGTTGCACTTTGGGGAAGGAGGGGAAATTGGGGGCTCCAGATAGTTCAGCTCCTCCTTGCGGGACTGCTCTGGGTCCCCTGTCCCACTGCAGAGATGGCGCCGCAGGAGTTCCCTTCAGGCCTGGCAGATGGGCAGTGAGGAGGGGCCTCAGTTAGCTCTCAAGGGTGCCTTCCCCTCCTCCCACCCCAGACATCCCCTCTGCCAAACTGGGAACCAGCAGTGCCAGTAACTACCTCACAGAGCCCCAGAGGGACGCTGGAGCCTTCCTGACTCAAAGCTGGCGCCTCTAGGCAACCCTTTCCTCCTCCCTCTCATGGGGGGTGGTGGGGGGCGTGGATCTCCCCTTCTCTTAACCATGAAGTGTTCATGGAGAGATCCCAGTGGCTTTGCCATTCAAACCGCGCAACTGTTGTGCCTGTTTGTGGAAAACCGATAGAAGGAAAACTGCACAGCCTGACACGGAATTGTAGGAAGATTAACGAGAACTCCTCATCGATGCCAGGGGACCTAAAAGCCATTTCCCTTCCAAATCCTCGAAGACCTAGATGCAGAGCATTTCTTTTGTATTCAGACTTGGAGTACCACCAGCTGGAAACTTCAGTTTCTTTCCTTTGGATGCATAGGCATCTCTCTAGGGGTACAGGACAGGGAGGAGGCCTCGTGACTGAAGGTGGATTCGGAGGGTGGGCACGACCCCGGGCTCGGCCCCTCGGCCCTTGTACCTCCTCGGGGCACAGTCTAATGGCGCTAGTACCTGGCGCCTTGGTATGGTTGAATCCGGACTGACGAGACAAAAGAACTTTTTTTTTTCTGAAATGAAATAGCAGGAAGCTCCTCGGGAGCGCGTGCTTGGCGTGGGCAAAGGTGCTGGGCGCTACGAGTATGTGGATTAACTACCTCAATCCTTACAGCAAGATGGCAGCGAGGGCGGGGACTCAGGAGTGTGAATCCCAGCCAGGAGAAGTGAGTCAAGGCTTGTGCCACTGAAAGGTTTGTCCTCGGGGAACAGGCAAGCCTGCCAGGATCCCCCCTCATGTCATTACGTCGGGAGGCCTGGCCATTAGGTCCCCCTTTCCGCCTTCCTTGCCCACGCTTCACCCCTTTTGCCTCCCGCTTGTCCCTCTCTCACCTGCTATAGCTTTGTTGGACCAGATGGTGAGGAAAGGAAATGCCTTCCCCGTCTACGCAGAGGGCTGGTTGGCAGGGAGAGCTCAGGCTTAGCCTGGAACTCACCACCCAGCTCCCGGGGAAGCTAGAGCGGAGACCTCTTCCCCAGGCTTTCTTTGCGATCCCCC